TACCAGCTGCCTGGGACCTAGATTATATGTAAAATCTAAGAAAAGCACAACAAACCAGAAAAAATTAGTCAAAATGTATCTGTCCTGTAGTCATTACAGTTAAATGTATGTCTCTTATTCAGACTCATAAAACAAAATCTAACCTTTTGAACATCTTGACAGTGTCCCCAATCCTTTACTGTCAATCATTTCTATACCGGAGTTAACATTTGTTGATGGAGCTAAAAACAGTCTTCAGGGCTATGAAATAGAAAAAAAGACATTACCAGCAGTGGCTAACAGACAGCAAAAATGCAGAAGAAAGGATTTTTTGAATAGCACAGAGTCAAGACCTTTAAAAAGAAGGAACGTTCCTTAACAGCTGTGGAGTGGAGAGAGATTGGCAGATGACAATGAGCCACAAAATCAATAGACTCCCTCACTGCTGCCTGAATAGAAATATTACTACCTCTCCCAGGCAATTGGTTTTAAAGATGGAGTGGAGCAGGAATCAAAGGGGAGGGGGTCCAGCCACACCAGTGCAGCTCCCCTGAATCTGCCCATTAGGGTTTACTCAGTGAGTTGTATTTAGTAGGCAGCATACCCTCTTATACTAAGAAATATACTGGTTACCTTGCAAGTGAGTCTTGCTCCCTATCCTGCCTATCAGACAGTTCAGGGTCTTGCTACGACATTCAGGGGTGTGATCCAGTAGTTCAGTAGTTTAGTAATCCAATAATCCAATTACCCTTTGTTCCCCAACTGTTTTTATGCCTTTTGTTTTCTGCATATTATTTTTACCATTATTCTTATTACTACTGGCTACTTACAGACATGTAATTGATTTCTTACTATTGGGCATTTTCCTAAAACCTTATACATAAACACACCCACACCAGCCATGCCCAGGGGGGTACACTAGGACAGCTGCCCCCCCCCCATGCCTTGGATTCCTGCTCTACCCAGAATTTAAAACCAACTGCCTGGCAGTGGCAACAGTATTTCTAGTTAGGCAGTAGTGAGGGAGTCAACTGACTTCATAGATCTTTAAAATCTACCTGATCCCTGCTAAACTCCTCATCCCATGGGTGTTAATGGTCTTGATGTTCCACCCACCACACGAACCTTTCTTCTGCAGTTCTGCTCTCTGCTCCTGGTCACAAAGCTCCTACTTTACAGCCTTACAGACTGGTTTTAACTCATTGCAATGAAGTTCTATTTGTTTCTGCATCAGTCTCAAACTGCATAATACAGCCCTAGGCCCCTGGCTTCCTAGTAAAGCTACAAGTTTCCCTTGCTTTACATGGGTTCTGTATGTGTGAATTTGCTCTTATCCAATGACCCTTTTTATACCAAAAAATTGTTATATGCAAAGTAAATTCACTCTTATGCAATCCGGTGTGGTGGAAGCCTGCAATCAGCTGCTCTGTGCGGTGCATTGTGGGAGTGACACCATAGACAGAGGAAGAAAAAGTTATTGGAGGGGGATGGGACAGCAGCTGAGCTGTGTGGTGGTACCCTGGCCGGGCTGTAGCGCCAGCTGCTGCAGCCCAGTCCAGCCCAGCCAGCACAGCACCCAGGGAGCTGAGAGCCATGAAGGCACCCTACAGTAGCATCCGCAGCCACCACTCAGGGCAGCTGGTGCCCATGCTTCTGGAGCTGCAGCTGCCCTGGGAGCGGTGCAAGGCCATGACAGTACAGTCGAGGTTTGGAATGTATCCCTATTTGTTACATTGCAAAGTGGGTTCCCTTTATGCAAAGCTGAGTTACATGCCATTTTCCAGGAACGAACGTACAGCAGAAGGCAAGGGAAGCCTGTATTTCTTTTCATTTGGAGAAAACAACATTATGTTGTACGTGATTATGCATGTCACCATGTGCCCCCTCACCCCCTTTCCAAACTCCTACCCACGCCCATGGGCAGATCTAGAATTTTGAGGGGGGGGGGGTGGACAGTGCACTCACCTATACAAGAACATCCAAGCCATTGAAAAGAAGAGGACGTCATTAACACCTGTGAAATTAACAGTTTAGAGGGAGATTATAGTGGATCATGAAGTCAGACTCCCTCAGCACTGCCTGAATAGAAATGCTGCTGCTAGTGCCAGGGCATTAGTTTAAAACGTTGCGTGGAACAGGAATCAAGGGGGGGGGGGGGGGCAGGGGCCCCCCCCCG